CAAGCACAGGATCCGCCCCGGGTGCCAAATGCTCTAGGTACGCCCCTGGATCCCCTTCTGATTTTGGACGTTTTTCCATTGACAAAGAAATTGTCGGTCTATAATTTTAATGGTAGGTGTATTTTAACAGTGAGAGACAGAATAACAACAAAAAAAAAATAATCCAGAAAAACGCATGTCGAAAAAGTTATAAAAAGTTATAAATTGATTTGCATGTCAATGAGTGACATAAGTATTTAATCCCCTATGAATCAGCAAGATGTCTGGCTCCCAGGTGTCTTTTATACAGGTTACAAACTGAGATTAGGAGCACTATCTTAAAGGGAGTGCTCCTAATCTCAGCTCGTTACGTGTATAAAAAACACCTGTCCACAGAAGCAATCAATCAGATTCTAAACTCTCCACCATGGCCAAGACCATAGAACTCTCCAAGGATGTCAGTGACAAGATTGTAGACCTACACAAGGCTGGTATGGGCTACAAGACCATCGCCAAGCAGCTTGGTGACAACAGTTGGTGCGATTATTTGCAAATGAAAGAAACCCCAAATAACTATTAGTTTCCCTTGGTCTGGTGCTCCATGCAAGATCTCACCTTGTGGAGTTTCAATGATCATGAGAATAGTGAGGAATCAGCCCAGAACTACACAGGATGAACTTGTTAATGATCTCAAAGCAGCTGGAACCATAGTCACCAAGAGAACAATTGGTAACACACTGCACCGTGAAGGACTTAAATCCTGCAGCGACGGCAAGGTCCCCCTGCTAAAGAAAGCACATGTACAGGCCTGTCTGAAGTTTCCCAATGAACATCTGAATGATTCAGAGGAGAACCGGGTGAAAGTGTTGTGGTCAGATGAGAACCTCCTTCCCTCAGCCAGGGCATTGAAAACGGGTAGTTGATGGGTATTCCAGCATGGCAATGACCCAAAACACAAAGCCAAGGCAACAAAGGAGTGGCTCAAAAAGAGGCACATTAGGGTCCTGGAGTGGCCTATCCAGTTTCCAGACCTTAATCCCATAGAAAATCTGTGGAGGGAGCTGAAGGTTCGAGTTGCCAAACGTCAGCCTCAAAACCTTAATGACTTGGAGAGGATCTGCAAAGAGGAGTGGGACAAAATCCCTCCTGAGATGTGTACAAACCTATGGCCATCTGCAAGAAACATCTGACCTCTGTGATTGCCAACAAGGGTTTTGTCACCAAGTACTAAGTTGAAGGGGTGAAATACTTATTTCACTCATTGACATACAAATCAATTTATAACTTTTTTGACATGCGTTTTTCTGGATATTTTTTATTTTTTTTTGTTATTCTGTCTCTCACAGTTCTTTGTCAGTGGGCAAAATCAGCAGGGGATCAAATGCTTTTTTGCCTTACCGTATGCAGTAACAGCAGTATTAGAACTGAAGGAATGTCATCTTCTCTTTTTACCTAGCAGATCCTACCTGCCCCTTTCAGGCTAAATATGCACTTCACAGGGGAGAAACAACTAATCTTAACTTCCGTGGGCCGTCCAAATGCTATTATTCAGTAATGCTGGAGCTTGTCAGAAGCAACTCTGGAGCGTGCTATCATCCCACTGGACCAACAGGATGTCCCCACCCACCTTTGCCAAAGGTACCAGAAGTAACAAAAGGGAGGAGGAAATAAATATTTCCTACTTTTTGTTTTAAAAAAAAATTAATTTTTTAATTTTACTTAATACTAATATTGTTCTTCCCCCTTGCACCCTAAAGCCCTAATGCACTATACACACAACATCCCCTGTACATACACACTTATGCCCACTTTAGACCATGTACACACACACTACAGCTTATATTAATATACACACACTACAGCCCATATACCTGCACATTATTAGAGGCGGCTCTCTAATTAAGTGAATAAAGGAGCTGCGTAAGGGTGCCTTTGTGCCGCCGGGTGCGGGGCCGCTCCAGTCAGCATGGCAAAGGGGAGAGTGAGTCGAGCAGCCTCTGGTCTGCAGCTACACTGGGTGCAGAGCTGCAGACCATGGGATAGAGGGACGTATTAGCCGTGAGGCAAACAAGGCATTTGACTTGGGCGGCATTTTCCAGGGGGCGGCAAAAAAAGCCGCCCCCAAATGCCCAGGGCAAATGTCTTGTTAGCTAACTTAAAATCCAGTCGGGTGGGCGGCGCTGGCGAGGGAGAACTTTCCCCCGATGTCATATTCCTGCTCCCAGCATCACTCTGCGGTGCGCGAGGGAGCTGAGCAGAGAGCTCGGGGGAAAGTGCTCCTTCGCGAGCATCGCCCAGCAGCCACCCTGGACCCCAGTGAAAGGGAGAACCCTCCCAGCATTCCCAAAAGTAAGGAGGCTGGGGGGGTTGAATTTAAAAAAAAATGTGAGTGAGTGTGTGTGTCTTTTAGTGTGTGTGTGTCTGTTAGTGTGTGTGTGTCTGTTAGTGTGTGTGTGTGTGTCTGTGTGTGTGTGTGGGTGTCTGTTAGTGTGTGTGTGTGTGTGTCTGTTAGTGAGTGTGTGTCTTAGTGAGTGAGTGTGTGTCTGTTAGTGTGTGTGTGTGTCTGTTAGTGAGTGAGTTTGTGTCTGTTAGTGTGTGTTTGTGTGTTAGTGTGTATGTGTCTGTTAGTGTGTGTGTGTGTCTGTTAGTGAGTGAGTGTGTGTCTGTTAGTGAGTGAGTGTGTGTGTGTATGTGTGTCTGTTAGTGAGTGAGTGTGTGTGTGTCTGTTAGTGTGTGTATGTTAGTGTGTGTGTCTGTTAGTGAGTGTGTGTATGTCAGGGAGTGTGTTACTATGTGTTTGTCTGTTAGTGAGAGTGTATGCTTGTCTGTTAGTGAATTTGTGTGTCTGCTAGTGACTGTATGTGTCTGTTAGTGAGTGTGTATGTCTGTTAGCTAGTGTATGCGTGTCTGTGTATTTAGAAGGGGGGAAGGGTGGGGTGGCACGGGGGGTAGGGAGGAGGGCGTCTGAGTTTTGTAATCCCTTGGGCAGCACAAAACCAGGATACATCACTGGGTAGGGGTCTCACAAACTAGTTACCATGGCAACACTTTGATACTTCAAATGCCAGCTCTTGTGGCACCTCTATCACATGGTTTGTAACTCTGCACAATGCAGAGCTGCAGACCAGATAACAAGGACCCGGACCACCATGAAATTGATTACTGTAAAAAATATTTCAAAATGCAGAGGCTGGCCACTGAAACACAACTTCAACCCCTTCCCAGTATCCCACCTCCCTCACAGTATCCCTCTCCCTCACAACTTCACCCCACAGTATCCTCCCTCACAACTTCAACCCCTCCCTGTATCCTCCCTCCCTCACAAATTTATTCTTCTCCTTCCCAGTATACCCCCTCCATCACAACTTTACTTCACCCCCTCCCTCCCAGTATCCTCCCTCCATACCAACTTCACCCCTCCCTCCCAGTATACCCCTTCCCTCACACTATCACCCCCCTCCCTCCCAGTGTTCCTCTCCCTCACATTACCACCCCCATCATCACCCCCCTCCCAGTACCCTAACCCCACAGTATTACAACCTTCCTCACAGTATTACCCCCCTCCTTCACACCATCTACCTTCCTCACTGTATTACCCCCTCCCTAACAGTATTACCCCCTCTCACACACCGTCACCCCACTCCTTCACAGTAATACCACCTCCCTGGGTCCTAGGAGGCTGCCTAAGGTCATCTTACGTATGTTAAATCCTCCTCTGATCAAGGGAAATGATGGGACAAATAAAAAAAACAATCTGCATTGTTCATATAGCAAATCTATAATGGGAGTAGATTTAGCTGATCATAGCATATAATGGTATAAAAATATATTTTACAGTGGCAGTCTCAAATTTGTATGTGCTGTGCAAAAAAGCAGGCACAGGGATGTCATACAGTTTTCTGAAATTTCCTAAAGCTTTTTTATCTGATATTTTGTTTCAACAACCCCTAATCTGTGCTAATAAATACTATAGCCATTGATGCCAGTCAAAAGTAGTGAGCCTAACCTATGAGTACCCTATTAAGGTTAATTGTTCATGTGGGAATCACCTAAAAGGTTTTGTTATGACGGGGCGGGTGAGCTAGCACTTTAATGACCATTGGAGTGGTACTAAAAACCTGTTATTGAAACGCACATTGTGATTTGGGATAGTATATAGGTGACTTTTGAAAGCAGTGGTACAGACTTTTTGGCAGAATATTTCCTTGTAGGGTTGCTCCCCACAACCTGCAGAAAGTCTCTTCAGAATAAGTAGAATATAAACCACACCAATGTAAAATATAAATATCACATATAGTATAGTAAAATCTAAACACCATGAGGGGTAGAGCCAGCAGCCATACTGAATGGACGTGTTTCAGTGGGGCTTTGAGATAACTGAAGCTAAAAACAGCAAAATAATCTGCTTACTTACCGCAACCGACTCCCTTAAGCGCATCCTACTCCACTTAGGATATGGGGCGCAAAAGCAAAAAACAGTGTCAGGAAAACCCCCTGTTTACCATGGATATCAGCGATCTGCTGTGGAGGCCGCAAAATCACACGAGGCCAGACATGGCGCCGCTCTCGGACGGGCCCTCCTGCTTGACCAGTGAGGACTCCCTGACTGACCTAAAGGGCTCAGAGCAACTGGTCACAAAGAGGAGAGCAGAACAGCCTCCTTTGCAGAGAGGAAGCACTCCAGTCACAGAGACAATGCTGAAAGCCTACCTAGATGATCTCTGCTGAATTATCACGGCTGACATAGCCTCATTCAAGGAAGAAATCAATGGGGTGTCTGTACGCTTCCATGACACCGAGGTCACCATCACCGCACATGAGGTGCGCATCTCTAGCCTGGAAACAGAGATGGCAATGCTCAGGCAAGAAATGACCCAATCCCAGCGCCACATTGCGGCAGTGGAAGACCGTAGACGCTGGAAGAATGTGAAAGTAAGGCACCTACCTGACAACATCACCGTGACTGTGATTCTACATCAAGATTGCTTACTGGCCTATTCTCTCCAAAACAAGCCAAGGCTATGACCCTAGATGGCTGCTACCGGCTATCACCGCCACAAGCTACCACATCACGGTCCAGTAGAGATGTAATCATCCGCTTTCAGAATGGCCCGGACAGCCAAGCCTTCCTGTCCGCCGTGCGCAGCGCCTCTCCCTATCACTTTGAAGAACATTCCTTACCGTTTTACCCTGACATCTCCAGGGCCACCATGGACTGGCGCAGGTCGTTGTGAATGTTGATCACAGAGCTGCAGAAACAGAAGATACCCTATAAATGGGGTGCACGGCAGTGCCTACTAATATCAAGAGAGTCCGGGACTCTAAAAGTTGTAGAGGCTTCAGAAGTGGCCAGCATCCTTCGGGCTCACATAAGAGAGCAGCCTCCAGTATCCCGCACGCAGAAGACCACCTGTAATCTGGCAGCGGTGCGCCCATTTGTTCCTGCCTCCCAACAAAGCAGTCACTTGAATCACTTGAATGACTTAATGTTAATGCACAATTTGTCTACTTTAGGCACAGAGCGTTAGTAATGTTATGTATGTTAGTTTAAAGCTGTTAAATTAGTTATTGCAGAGCATAAGCGCTCTGCTGCACGCTTCCACCTTCCGCTGACAAATGGGTCTCAGTGACCCTCACTATCTCTCTCCCCTCCCCCTCACACCCACTGATATTGGCTCTAAGCCACTTTCCCACAACCAGGAACATGGGTGATAGCCTCCGCACCTTGACAATCCGAGTAGCAACCTGTGATCCAGGAGGCATATAGTCTCTTTACCTCTGCTTCACTATAGAGCTAGCTGCAGATCTCCTACCGGGGAATAGAGGGCTTAGTCCAAGTCTGAACCTGTGACATATAATTTTATAATAACCTAAAAACTATCAATCCTAGAATTGCAGTATTGTTTTGAATAACATGCTTTAACTGGCTCGCCTCACAACTGTTTATAATTATTGTGAAAGGCATGTCTTAACTTTGGATTGACAATAACAAGAAATTGACAAAAAAAATGTATCTAAACACCATTTAATACAAAAGGTGGACTATTGCAATCACAAATACACATAGTAAGCAGGCAGGACAAATAATCATTGTTGTCAGGGATCCATCGGTGTTCCAACTCACAATACCCTCAGCAGTACATAAATGGGAATAAAGTGACAAAAAGGCAATAATAATATTCAGCAAATATTAAAAGCAAGAACTTTAATAATATTGTACTCACACATTTCCAAAAAGTAAAAGGCACATTTACAAGGTAAACTTGTTATTGGATGCACAGCAAGGGAAATCTTCTCCTAAGCTGTGTTTCAGATGGTAAGGTTACTTGGGAAATCCCAGTATACAGCATACACAGTACATAATATATACAAAATAAAATAGTGTCAACCCTACGCGTTTCGTTCACTATTGCGCGGACTGCCTCAGAGTTATTTCGGCAAATCTGCAGCCTGAAAACTATGAGACGACAACTTGAGGACCAAGACAACCGAGGTCGTCGAAATATCATTAGGATGAGAGGGGTGCCTGAATCCCCAGATGAGGAAAATGTGTCAGATATTCTCACCTCCCTATCCCACCTGATATTAAGGAAGTAAGCGCCCACCAAATCAAATATGACAGGGTGCACAGTGCAGTGCGGCCTAGGACTTTGGACCTCGGAGGGGGAGCCTAGGGATTTGATATGCTACCTTCATTCCTTTCCTCTGAAGGAATTAATTTTGGCAAAAGCAAGAACCAGGGCCCACTGGAACTACAGGGACACAGAAGTATCCCTCTTCAATGACCTCTCACCGATGACCTTGGAAGCAAGAAGAGCCCGGAGGCCGGTTACCACCATACTACGTGAGAAAAACATACAATATAAATGGGGCTACCCGTTCAGCATACTAGTCCGGCATAATAACGAGTGAATAACGGCTAGATGCCCTGAGGAGATACCCCAATTTCTACAACGGCTTGATCTGCCACTGTGACAGACCCATCTGTATGGACTAAAAGTACTGTGGTAGTCTGTTTTGCCATTTGCATGAATTCCCCATTCGTATGCTTTGTTTAAGGGAATGTCCTTTTTTCGTCGAACGAAACTACCGAACGGACGGCCACCCAGAAGAGAAGTGTGCTGCTGGTTAACCTATTGATCCCAATTAGAACGTTGCGGTTAACCACAGACACTTCTCAATTAAAACCGAATACCGGGTGGTCGTCGTTCGTATGTCGACCACGAGGCGGCGGCCATTTTAACCATGCGAAAGACCAGCGGTGTTCGACGGTTATTTCATGGAACTGAAAACGGACACTTTTTCAACCGAACACCGCTGAAGCCGTCGACCTCCCCTTCTCAATCGACAAAAGCATACGAATGCCGGCCGTTCGGGAGATTCAACAACACGAATGGACTTAACCCAGATAGCCTTCCCATGGAGTCAATCGCATACCGAAGAACTGTAATAAACTTTGACTCCATGGCGATTGAACTATGCGAATGGGATCTGAGCGCTATTCGCCAATAATATGCACTCAGATCCAGGCTATCTGGGGATGTGTTACACGAATGCAATATGTTCGGCAATTAGAAAGTTATATATTTTAATGTGTTTTATAACTTTGAGTTAAAATGGCGATTTGCCTCTGCTCGGGGAGATAATTGAATTACTCCCCAATTATCTCCCGAGCAGAGGGGAGGGAACTGTGATGCATGCTGGAAATATTGTGGGGATGTATGTCTGAATGTCCCCATGTCCTTCTGTCATTTCAGTCTCCCATTTGGTCCCCTAGGGGAGTGTCCACCAAGTGGGAGACCTGCATAAATACCGGGCAGGTAGCCCACAGTAAATGAGTTCGTGTTTTACCCTCAAAGCGGAGCTTGGTCTCGTTATTGGGGGGATTTTATTACCGGCGCCTAGAGACTGCTTATTGGAATTATTTGCCGCTTGGAAGATATTGGCGTTCGGCTAATATTGTCAGTTCGTGGATTTGGAGTTCGTGAAGGGAAAGAGCCATACAGGTACTGTTCGGGAGTTTGGAGTGTTCCCTAGCTGGCAGTTCGCATGGTTATACTGTACACGCTACCAGACCCCATTATTGCGAACGGGGAGCATTCACTAAACGGTGGTTTGCACATTTATTACTGGAGGTACCGTAACAGCCACCAACATCCATACTGATCTGGGTCCTGTTACAGTTGGAACCCAGACCCCAACTGCAGCAAAAAGCATGGAGGAGAATATGGAACTCCCCGGGGGGTCCGCCACATGGCCGCCTGACAAATCCAACAAACCCAGAAGAGTAACCATCCCACCACCAGATGATCAAGGCCCGGTAACCCAGGGTGCCGACACCCTCACGACCACTGCAGCTTAAAGAAATTCCAGATGGTATCTCATGAAGAACACACCGCTGTCACAAAGTGGAAGGTACAATGGTGGTGGAACAGGGTGGTATTAGCATAGGTGGGGGGTAAGCCCGGTCTTTATGATTACGAACAAATTCCCTCACTCAAGGAAATACCAGCTCTCAAGGTACCCTCTCTATAGATAGATAACCCACCCCATGAAGCAACTAAAAAAAAATTTATATATATATCACAAATAGGGGGGTGAGGGGAAAGGATAAGTAAGCAAAGCTGATTTTTGGGGGGCTGAAAGGGGGAATATCCGAGACATTCAACCTGAAGCACCTTGGGGCACCTTTTGGGGAGACTTCAAGGGACATACCAAGGCACCAAGTGAGCTCATATCCCCTACCCACACACATGGCCCTGGAAATATGCTACAATACGATGAGCATCTCGGGACTCTTACCCAGGGACTTCAGCGAGGAGGGGAGGGAGTGCACAAGGTTCCCTTATGCAAGTGCATGGGAAGGGATGCTCTGTTCTGCTACACCTCACCCATAAATGTATACCATAACACCCAGACAAGCACGGGAGGGAATGCCACAATGTGTAAATTCATCTGCATACAGGACCCGCTTAAATGCTTATGACACCATGTCACATTTCACCACCATGCTTAGATACCCCACATGAGCACGGGGGTATGCACATAAGGGGTACGATCCAGGCACTCCAGGATACCCACTTATACATGTTATGGTTGACATAGACGGAGGGAGGAGGTGGGAGGGATTACAGGGACAGGGACAGGGATATAAAATTGGGGTGGGGGAGAGAGAAACCCCCCCTCCAAAAAAAAACAGCTTCTGGGGGTTAACTATGAGGGGTGAATGCATATCTCAGACATTAGGGAAGTGGGGTGATTACGAATCAGAACTCATTTCATAGCATACCAACACTGCATGTCCTAGACAGTGACCACACTACAGCATAAAAGGATCTTGATCGGTCGGGGCCTAGCCATTTTACCCACCACTATTGGTGTAATTACCTGACACTGCAAGGAGGTGGAGGCACGCCACAGTGGCCTTCCACTGGGTGGACGCTTACTGCTGCTACAGTCACATGGATCCCCTCTCTTAAAAGAGGTATAACTCAACCACTTCGGGGGTCACACTTCCCATTTCTTGGTCTATTTAGTCCATGATCTGTCCCTTACCAGACATTCCCACAACCCACTGAGTGTACACCCCCACCCGTACAAATAGTTGACTTATGCGTAAGAGCAGACCGTGGGTGGGTGATCTCTTTGACAGTTGGAACTCAATTAATCATATACTACATGCCTTATACCCTCCCTCCTGGCCAGGCCGGCCGCCGTCTCTTCAGCCACCACGTCTCCGCGGGGTGCGACACAGAAACTACTGCAGGACAAGCAGCTCTATCTAGAGTCACAGGCTTGCCTGGCTGCCTTCCACCCTCGGAGATAATCCAATAGGTAACTAACTACAAGGGGTCAAGATATCTTACCGCCCAGACCCAATTAAAGTCATCACCCAAAACTGCAGAGGCCTAAACTTACCGGAACACAGAACTCACCTCCTTAGAGAACTACAGAAGGGAAGGGTAGCCATAGCTTTCTTGCTGGAAACCCATTTCCAAATGGGTTCTGCACCTGTGTTGCATAACAAATACTACCACACCAACTATTTCAGCAACCACTTCACAGCCAGGAAAATGGGGGTAGCGATTCTGGTAGCTGCCAGACTGCAGTTCCAAGAATTGGATAAGGAGATAGACACAGGGGGCAGGTATGCCTTCGTTAAGGGGGAGATATCAGGCCGTAGGAACACGCTGGCGACGATTTACTTACCGAACCGCAATCAGTCATGATACCT